TTCAGAAGTTAATTTTTACAGCACAATTCCTATATATTAATTGAAAATTATGGGCCAGATTATTCCTAAATGTTTTCGTACGATTCACAATCTTTTTGAAATCACATGCTTGCTAACAGGAAGAGAAATGAAAATAACAAAACAGGGCGCAATATACGATTTTGTAAATAAGTATGTAAATTTGAGAAACAATGAAATTGCTGGAGAAAGTCGCACGAAGTAAACTGTGTATTCAAAAATTAAAAATAACCAACGATCTTGATTAATTTTCTTCCAATATCCCATTCGTAGTCATAGTTCACAGACACGGCACATTTAACTTTAATATGTTAACTGCCACAACATGATTTGAATTCTTTTTAAAAGTTATTAATGTTTATAGATGACATACTAATTGTAAATCGAATAATATTTTGCTATGTATTACTTTCAAAGACGATCAAATTCGACATTTAGAGCTGTTTTATGATGTACATGTACTTTGTATCACACACCCCTATCTTGCGGATAGGATAATAATGTTTTGGAAAAGTCACACGATTGTTATTTGGATTGCGTTACATAATTTAACATTAATCCTTTCATTAACATCTTCTCTTGGTCATGCAGTAGATACTAGTATTTGCTGATATCATAATTTCTTTTTTTTTCTCTGACATTTTTACACTCCGGCATCTACATTTACACTCCATTCGACTCACTACACACATTCCACTCCCGATTACACACTACATCCGACATTTACACTCCGATGGAAATATTTCTCATGATTTAAAATGTAAACTACAAAGATCGTAACCAATAATAAAGTTGTAGTCTAAAGAATGCTCTTACCGTTTGTCAACAATATTGATTTTATGGTATCTAATAATCACGAATTCTACAAAACTCAGTGACACATAAATCAAATGTATATAATGAAGTTAGGTGTCCATAACTTGCATTCTTAACCAAGAGTATTCCTAAGCTTGGCTCGGTACTTCATTACAGACGATGTTACTTCTCTTTCACATTCATTATATTCTTCAGTACATGTGATAAAGTTTTTCATATATTTATATTCCCGACAACGTTAAGACTTGTACAGATGGAGGGGAAATGCATAGAATTTTTTACCCGAAAATTAAGATATCTGAACGGAAAGATGGCCGTATATGTGACACCTTTGAGAAGCATTTAAGCTGAAACGTGATAAATACGTAAGGAACAATATTTGGTTGTGCCATTCCGGCGATCATTAAGTATTCAGTTCAGTATGAAGTGCCGTATTCAAAGTATTTTAAAATGTGTCTCAAAATGTTTTCTCTAAATGTTTTTTTCGAATAGAAGAATTATAAAAATTATAAAAAGACTTAACAATGGTTTGCTTCGGATTTTCGTTAATACCTTTGCGCTTTCAAAATTACAAATCTCTTTGTATTTAAAACATTAAGGATTTTCGTTTAGAAACAAGTCTGAACTTTCTACTCAATTAAATTTCGTGATTTTTGACTTTAAACAAGAGGTGGTGGCCCAAAATATTTTATCACTTACTATTATTAAGATATTTTATAGTCTAAACACCACATTTCAATAAAATTAAAAATAAATAGAATTAATCCTTATCAGACATCATGTTTCATTATTTGATTATGTGAGTTGTAATAGATTCATTGTAACCATTCAACACTTCACCTTCGAGATAACAGTGTGGGGTTATTGTTAACGAATTGAAAATAGAGAGATATCGTAAGATTGGAGAGTGTTTTTAAAACGAAAGATTAGTGAATATTTACGCAGTGTACTGCAATCGTCTGATACAGCTGTAGTTTTTGAAAAACATTTCGCATTGTCCATGATATTCTTATGTCAAGGAAGATAGGAGGATTATTGTCCCATAATTCCATACAGCATTCACGTTCAAAGATGCGAAGTAAACATAAAAAACTTGAAATACATTTTCAGAAACATGTTCACAGTGTTCACATGTGTTCACAGTGAATAGTGAATGTATTCTTACAGCATTTTAAACCTCCCTCATTTCATCAGTATTTGAAAACAAATACTAAACAATGAAACAATTCTTTCACCGTTTTCAATTTTCGTGGCTTGTGAACAGGTGTTCTCAGATGAATATGTGTGTGCTCAGATGTAGCTCTGAATGCAACAAAGAAAAAATATCACCCGAACGCATCGTCTACCACTGACCTTATTGTATCATTAAGTGATTTGATTACAGGAATAAAAATAAAATGAAAGCTAGTAAGGCTGTCAAAAAATAGTTTATAACACACGTGGTAAACGTTATTTTATTTTGCTGGAAGGATTGCGAGGCCTATGATTCTATCGGGCTCGTGTTGTAGGAAAGAGTACATTGTTTTGTTTCCTTAATCTTTGCATAAGCAATTCGTACAGATATATTAGTTTTCTTTCGGGTCATTGTTTGCTTGATTGATATGGCTTTTCCATGTTAAGTGACGATCATGGTATATCTTAGTAGTTGTGTCGGAAATTGTCTTAGTATGGGCGTATTCTATAAAGGCGTTTTATTTGGAAATTTTAGTCCAAGAAGTGTGAAAATAGGAGCTTGTAATTTAATAGAATTAGGCACCTTCAGTTGGTGCAATTATAATAAACCTCTATGCCAATACGTTATACAAGGCTTTGCTTATACTCTTGAAAATTGCTCCTGTGTTTGGAATTATAGTTATATGCTCTATAAATCGTAAAAGAAGCGGAAATATTATATGAAAATCCAAAATCGATGAAAAGGTATTTCATCAATAGAATTTGCATTAAGAATATCTTCATCCGCATGTCAATTAAGAGCAAATAAAACAACTACAGATGGTGAAGTATTCCTACTCCAAGAATGACTTTTAGCACGTGTGTCATGCACCATTACATTTAAGTAGGTGGTATTACTAAAAGTATTGAACTTGGTTAGTTTTAAACATCAGCTAAAGGTCTTATTTTTGTAACTTTAATCACGTCAGTAATTTCTTCTACATCGGCGTGTATATTACTGATGCAGTTTGATAATAATAAAAATAATATTAATAAGGAACAATAACAAATTTCCAGAGTCAAACTTATCATCCACATTATTTGTCAAAAAGAATCTTCTACACTTAAAAATATAGCAAGAATTATTTACCAGTGCTACAGTATGTGAATAAATTTTCCTCCATGTCTCTGGGTGGTTTTCCGGAAATTTTTGATGTGACACACTGCGAACAGTATTATTTATGAAGTAAATAGAGTATATCTACCAACAGTTTCCATTTCAAGCTGTATACGCAATACAAACAAATAGTAATTTACTAATTTTGATTTGTAATCTATGGCATATTCTAATGGTATATTTAAAAATCTATTTAATGAATTATTCACTGAGTTTAAAAAATTAAATAGATACTTTATATCCAATTCTTAGTCACATGTATAAAGTTTAATTAATATTATTGTAGTACATTACAGTGCAGTGAAAATTGATTTTTGCAACTAGTCATTGAATCATAATGAATCAGTCAATGCTTACAGAAATCGGGTTTGTCTCCAAGTACGATGATGTGCAAAATAGTTCAAAATACGTAGTGATTATATAAGGATAAATGAGGAAGAAATATGCAATATATATAACAAATTCCGATTCTTTTTTATTGCAAAATGTGGGGAGGATGGCAGTAGCACGGAATTAATTTTAATTTTTGAAGTTCCATATATTAATTTCCTGTCGAAATCGTGGCCCTCAGAATCCAATTTTTTGAATCTTTTCCATCTTTTCGCAATGACGTCAATCACTGATTTATAATAAAATGCTGGTACACGATTACATGCTATAATAATCGACTTTTTTATGAAACATTGCCTTCTCTACTTTACTTGTAATGAGTTGAATCCTCAGACACTAAGTAAGTCTATTTGTGATTCATAAAAAACACAGTTTTCTTAAGCCAATGTCTATCACATCTCATTCAACCATTAACATGACTTGTTACTTTTGAAACTGATGCACATGATTTCTTTTAGATGATTTTTGAATACCTGTACATCCCTGAATCATAACATAATGTTAGAAGAAATCTCTAATTCATGGATACTTATCATACACATTTCTTTCAACTTAGGAACAATTCACTCAGAGGTTTTGCGTTATTTTTAGAATATTCTCTCAGAGAATTTGTACAAGATCTAAAACCAACAAAGTGTCTATAATACAAAATTAAATGTATAATCATTAGAGAAATTCATAAGATTTTAAAGACCATATTGTGTGTAAAAATGAATCTGCATTGGCCCACCCGATACTACGTGTGAATCAATATTTTAATCAATTTTATGTTTCCTCTTTGTTCACTATCGTATAATCGCGTATTAAAATCTGAACTTGTATCTGTCGAACAAAAATTGGCTGAAGCATGAGAGCACTTTTTAATTATCAGGAGATTAAATTTTTCATACAATCCGGATCACTGACAATGTATCAGTGTATTTTCCATGAGAGTATCAAAAGAGTATATGTCTAGAAAATATGTTCCATGTTCTGTTATGTTTTCTGAAGTGAGAAACATTTTGCGAGAAAATACCTAAGTTTATTAATCGTAAGGAATATATTTATTTAATACTATACTACATTATTGTCTATTGAAAAGTAAGTGTTACGTAAAATATTTCATAGTAGTTTTATTATTATTATTATTATTATTAATATTTCATGTAGTTTATTTACTGCCATAAATTCTTACAGTATGAATTCGACTGAGGACAAATATGTATACATTTGTATATAGGTAAAATTCCAGATTTTCTCTAGTTCTCAGCAGTGTTAGTACTCATTCGCTCCATTTCTTCTCAATTCGTAAAAATGGATGAAACAGATGAATCAATCGTGTTAAATGGTATTTATTATTATACATTTTTGGGATTTATTTGTAATTTATTCATTTACTTACTATCATACGACAATTTCAAAACGATTTTTTACATTATATAACCATTAAGTAATCTTTTTGTTTCAGAATTGATTATGCGAACGTTATTAACAGTATTGTGTTTATTGTCAACCAGACCGACCTACCAGAAACGAAAAGGTTTGTGGTGAGAAGGGAGATTGAAAAGTCATTTGACCTGAACCAGAACACTAAACAGAATACCATGTTCATGATACGGAACAGAATTTTGAAAAAGTGAATGATTCGGTTTCACAATGAACATATTTTCATGGCGGTGCAATTGCTTGTTGTAAGCATTTGCTTCCACATAAGCTGCGCAATTCGACGCGCAATCAACACCTACAAAAATATGGAAATTGGGAATGCAAACGGCGGTCTATTTACAGAAGTCGAGTTCATGTAACATTTGCCTGGTTACAGTGTGTAAAACAGTACACATAATGAGGGTGACGATTCTTTGAAATGCCGAACTCATGCGTACACCGTTGTTAAATGAGATATGCATAACTTTTATAGCATTTATTCATATTATATGCAATAGCGTGTTCTAAACGTAATCATTAATTGATGTACTAGTAATACTGCTTTTTAAATGATGTACATCAAGAAAGTGGTTTATTACCACTGTCATTCTTCCCGCAGAGGAAATTCCTGTTTTCTCAAAACTGTAAAACACGATGAAATCAAGTGATTGTTTCACAGAACACGAGGAGATCTACAATTATAATCACATTATTAGGTACTTTTCAAGCACAATTAATATTTTGAGGTTTACCATCACTTCACTAAGAAAATTAATTTTATACTCAAACTATATAGTTCTCAAATAAATTGAAATAAAATTATGCATTTATTCTTTTAGTAATTCAACAAGCAAGACTCTCTCTAAGTGCTTTCACAATTTCAGTAGAATCCATATTATTGTAAAGAACAATAAAAACATAGATTACAACAAAATAGTTTTTAATATTTTAATTATCATTTTATAATGGAGATAAATAATTAAAATGATCGGAGGGTGATGCTATATTATTCAACACAGTTAAACTCTTCTTTGGGATTACAAGAAAATGTAACAAAAAAGTAACAATTTCCGTGGTTAATTCTAATATGTAAATGACGTTTATTACTTTCGTGTAGTTTTTGTGACATCACATGTTCTTGCAATAAAAAAAAGGTTTTAATGTACATTCACCTTCATAATTTTCACGCAAACGATTTCGAAATTCCCTTCTGAGCATTTAATAATTTTCAAGCATTATTGTATTTAGAATTTCGTGTACGAGTTATTTATGAACACTCTTCATATTCATTACGTCTGCAAAGTGACGAAGAACATCTAAATTACCTCTTTGAAAGAGATATCTTCAATTTATACCGTTTTTCTTTTTTAAACTGGGGTTTCCTTACTTTCAGAGAAGTTTTGTTGATCATTTCAGAAAATATTCTCAATATATTTGTCACATTTTTTGATAGATCTTTGAAAAAACTATCTGCATTGGAAAGTCTTCTTTGAAAACTTATAAATATTTATTCAGTAATTTTAACTTCGCTTTCACAAAAGGGTTTCATTTAAATGTTGCTGCAAATATACAAAATATTTTTTTAAGTTATAAAAACAGTCACATCGATTCTACAGAATTATTTTTTAATTTAATTTTCATATTTAGATTTTCGTTCGTGAATAGGAAAATTTAATCCAAATTCCGATTAAAAATTCGTTTTTGTTAAATCCATATACAATTTTACTCGTATGTTTTATGTGCGGTACGCGTATATATCTCGGAAAGAGTTATTATAGTGAACTATTTTTTAGAAGTATAAAATTAGAGACATCTTGGTGTTTTTGAAAAAAACAAAATTGAATCGATCTAGTCCTTCGGTCTAGAGCTCAATCAGTTTCACCTATAGCCCAAGAAGAAGGTTGATGTGGCCTGGCAAATTTATTTCAGTGCGCTGATTTCTTTAAAATCCTCCTTAATCGTTTTCTAAACATTTTTATATACAATTATCGACATGAAAGTAAATGATCTCTTAAATGTCTGCTGGTTTGAATGTTTAATTGTGTGCTAAGGTCGACTGCTTGCTCATTTAATACCTTGAAAATAATGCAACGGTCGCACTCATCAGGTGATGTTTTTGTATATATCCTTGTGTACTTGTACATACTTGTGAAGGGTACTTTTATATTTGTTGTTTAGAATTGCAATGAAACAGAGGAGTACAGTAGTCTAAATTTCATGTTTCATTTTTGTGAGACAATTCCATTCTGATTATGTTTCCTCTTCATTGAATCTTTGTTGACTAGTTGTTAATTTGTTTCCTTCTTGGTCTCTTGCGTTAAGCAAACATGTACTAAAAAATGATAGCTTTGTTAGCTGAACCGTACACGATTGGATATGTGAATGACACAATACAGAAAACGAAAGCTAAAGAAGTCCAGTCAATTTGTGGAGCCCCAAAGAATCTTTCATTATAATTGTTAATAAGAAGGTTGAAACGTCCGGCACAGTGTATCACTCTTAAGAAAAATATTGGACGACTTTTTATCGATGCTGTAAAACAATTCTCAAAGTAGAGAACATTTCAGCAAATTCTCAGTTATTTTGATTCCTATAAACTTTTTGTTTCTCCTCTCAATTAAAGTGACTACAGCAGTCAAACCGTGAGCAATGCAGTAAATCTGGGAGCTTTTGAAGTGATATATTATTAGCGGTTCTCAAGGTGAATATAACAATTGTTCGTGTGACTACTGTAATGAATAGAAAATGTTTGAAATTAGCATCCTCTTATAAAGTTTATTAGAGTTAACAAAGCATATATTTCTCTGCGTTAAAAAAGGTTTAAAGTAATAAATGTGTTAAAAAAGCGTGAACCCTGTGCTCCTTGATTAATTTGTCATGATTTGATTAACATTTAAAGAGCTTTTCATTTACTATTTTCAATTTTTTAAATTGTTGTTTATATTAAATGTGTTTATTAATTGGGTAAGATTTAAATAAGGCATTATTCTCCTTCACTGATTTTGTGTGCTAAAAATTGGAATGTTCATTTCAAATTTTATTAAACGCAAGATACGGGATACATTTTAGATATAGAATTTTTGAGTTTTCGACAATAGCTATTTTATCTGGTATGTTCTGATAGTGTTTGGTTCAGAAGATTTTACTTCTTATCATGAGAAATGAATTCATGTTTAGGAATGAATAATTCAGATTAATATCAAGCACTTACTCATATTAATTTTTATAAGAAGATGCTTTCTCAAAAATATGCAATACACTGAATCTATCTATATGTTAAGAACGAATAATATCAACACAATTTCACATTGTTACGATTTTTATTTAATAACTGGCACTGAAAAACTGGCACCTAACATGTTCGTTTGTTAATGTATTACTGCTTCAGATTATTTATTTTCGATAAATCTTCAGTCAGTTATTGTTGAAACCTACTTGGACCCATGTGAGCATTTCGCGCGTAAATTATTATTTAATAATGAAAATAGCTTCCTACTGTAACCCAACTTCAAACACGCAGCCATGTATCTGTGCATACAGCTTTACAGAACTTATATTGTTCCTGGGTAAACTTTCTAATAAGTGTACATTAACAAAGAGAAAGGCATTGACCCATGAATTTAAATTGCACAGAATATCAAATAGACAATTCAATTTGGCGTAAGTTTTGAGATTCTGCTTCCTTTCGAACACCAGTGCTAGTTAGGATACTCCGAAAGACTGAACATTTAAGAAAGTAAAAGAATGTTCAAAAATACCGTATTTTATAGAATATCACGGATCTTTTCTCGCGCATGTTCCCCTGAAAGTTCTCTTATATGTTTCTCGCATGTCTCTCGTACGTTCTCCGCCTGTTTCCCCACATATTCCCCACGTGTCGTGCATGTATCTCCCATTCTCATGACCTGAGTGTTCTTTCACATGCTTCTCCGCTTGTTCACTGAATGTTATCCCACGTGATAATCAATTATTTATCTGAAATTAAACTTCCAATTCAGAAATTTATTTAAATTCGTTTATTAATTAAAATTAAATTCGCTTCTTATGATGAAGTAATTTAGCTGAATATTGTACAGAAAGTGCAGTAACTCTCATGGTGGATGAATAGCTCAAATGCCCACATGAGCCGAACCCCTACCCCGCCCAAAAAATAGAAGGGTTCCAAACATCTAATTGTGCATAATACAGCTTAAGAAACGTAACTCGTGTCCCCCATGGGAGATCTAAATCAGGATCTTTAAGGTCTAGGGCACACTGTATTCGATATGTGCATGATAGTAACATGCGGTGCGAATTGCAAAGCGCAAGGTTTTTTCCACTACCGCTTACGCAATAGAGAGAACTTTATGTAATGCTGCGGGAAAAATAAGCGAATTTTCGGCTGAAAACTCTTATTACAGGGCCCTAGTAACGAATAAGTGGATAAATCCCGTTGCTAAATTTAGAAAACAAATTCCTCTGCCATATGGTGTACCCACGATCATTTCCTTGATACCGAAAAATCGAATGACGGGAAAACGTTTGTTTGTCCGTCTGTGAACAATGCAAGCGGCTAAACCGTCCAGCCGACGGTTTTCTTCAAAATTGTTTTTCCTAACCGATCTGGCTGATGTCGCGGCCCCTTTACTTTTAATCTAGGGCAAAAGCCATTTGCAATCTTCAATGAAATAGTTTGAAGAGAAATATTTTGGCCAGCACTACCTAAACTTTTGTTGATTATAATAAATAAAACACTTGCTATAATATACCTGGAATAATACACTCTCAAAACCTTCTGATATCTGATCTTTACGGTTTCATCACATGTTGATTTTTTTGATACTCTTAAAAATATTTTGGATATTCAGTAATTTTAGAAACGAGAAAAACTAATTTTTTGAATGTTATCAACGTAGAATACATCATTATGTAGTTCATGATGGTGCCTAAGGAAAGCACAATCAAAACGCTTTCTTTCCAGCGTGCGTACATATACACACAGGAAAGTCTAAACACTTTTGTTCAAAATAGAATACTATGGGAGCTTGTTTTGGAATTTTCAGTGAACTAGTTCACTAGTTTAAGATTCGTTTGTTTTGTTGCCATTTAGACTCTTTCAGATTTCCCCAAATGTCT